CCGGCCATTTTTTGGTTGCAGCCATCATTGTTGCTCGGCGGGCCCGGGCTGGGGATTCGAACCCGCCACCTCAGGTGCATGTGGCTGGCGCCCTAGCCGCTTGAGCCACAGGCGCCGAGCCGTTGTTGTTGTCCTTGTGTTTAGCCAGCCAGCCATGGTGCATGTGGCCAGTGCCCTAACCACTGAGCTACGAGTGCTGAGCCATGCTTATCCTCTCCTGCTCTCTCACTTGCTCACTTTGTTATAAGCCAGCTGCTGTGTTGTGACCTGCCTTGTGGAGGGGCCCACATGGCAAGAAACTCAGAGAGATCTGCAGTCAACAGCCCTCAGTCCACAAACTGCCAGGAACTGAATCCTGCCAACAACCATGTGAGTGAGCTCAGAAGCGGACTGCCTCTCAGATGAGGTTTGAGATGACTGCAGCTCCACCTGACACCTGGACTGTAGCCTTGTGAAACCAGACCCTGAGCCTGGAGACCCAGTTAAGCCAAGCCCAGATTCCTGACCCATATCAACTGTGAGACAATACTTGCTGTGTTAAGCCACTTACGTTTGGGATATTTGTTACACAGCCATAGATACTGAATTAAATAACAAGATCAAGATCTATAATAATTGTATAATATTGATACACATAAATGATATTTTGCGATATTTGCAACAACTCTAAGGGGATAGAGTTGTTCTATTGAGAACAAAGTCACAGATACTGCTAATAGTACTGTGGTTTGCTGCCTATACTCATAATGAGAGAATGCTCTGGTGTCTCTTCAGATCCCATGAATCTTTCACCTTTTACTCATAATGAGAGAAATACTAATTTTCAGTTTAGTTTTAATGAAAAAATATAAATGTATGTATCATACATGTTAAAAAATAAGTACATATTATATTTACTTATTTATTTTTAACAGAAGTTCGTAGACCCAGGTTAAGAACACCTTGCCCAAATAATAGATCATTTATAGGGACTTCCAAAGCTCTTATCTCCAACTCTCTCTGACAGAATTAAAGCTCAGGTAATAAATCCAAATAACAGATGTCCATGAGGACTGTTGCTAACTTACATTATAGTCGAATATGAATTTTCATCCCTTTCCTCCGCTTACTCCCTCTCCTCCAAGTCTATGCTAAATGTAGATAGACTGGCTAAAATTGTAGGGCAGAAAGAGTGAAAAAGTCATGATGAAACCCTTTTCATCACTCAGTTCATCTGATTTTTGTTTTTACTATGTGAAATCCCAGCTTCTTGACCAGAGGGCCTTTTTAGTAATTCTTTGACTCTCTTAGGGCTACGCCATAGGACGTAACCAGCGAATGCCACATGGCAGTGGCGAATAATAATAGAAGGAAAGCTAAATAAATAAAACACTTTTATGGAGTAAATAAACCCCCCTTTTCTATATATATAATTTTGCAACTATGAGATGAAACCAAAGCAGTATTCAGAGGCTAATTTATTGTTTTAGATACACTTAACAGAAAACACAAAAATGAAAACCAGACGAACCAAGATCACAAGTCAGGAAACCTGAAAAAGAGAACAAAATAAATCAAAGAAGGAAGAAGAATATAAAAATTAGAGCAGAAGCCCCTCCCGGGGTCCATGGCTCTTATGTGACCAAGTAATACAAATCGAATATATAATAATTCCCATCTATACGTCTATTTGTCAAATGTATGTACATATGTTATGATTAATAATTTCAAATACAATTTTTTATAGATAAAGGCAGAAAGTAATGATGAATTAACTTCAAAGTGAATTAATTTTTTGCACAAGGAAAAGACAGAAGTTGACTAATAACCAAAAGGTGATTGTCTGGGAAAGTTAAGGAAATAGGAAAAAATTTGGCAAGACTAATCCCGGGGGAAAAAAAAGAAAAGACCCAAACCGTGGTAATGATAATGGAGATGTTAAGTACAGATATGGAGATTTTAAAAAGCATAAAAGATTACAATGTACAGTGTTACGCCAGTTGGTTAAAAAAAGAAAGAAAAAATGCTTCTCAGTGCTCCTGGAAAGCTGTCCTGATAGAAATCTATTAATTTTTTTTGCTATGGAATAATATAGAAAGTTGATAGGACAAAATAAAATTATGAGCAGTTCCACTTTGACACTAGGAACACTTGACTCTGGGCTCCTCTTCTCATCGCGGTGATTTTCAAAGGGCCTCTGCCCCAGACCAGACAACTAAATTCGGTTGAGACTGCTTGAAAACAAAGACTCTATTCTATAAGTAGACGGCTTTCGTTGGACTATTTATTTAGACACGTGACAATCCATTGAAAACTATCACCAGACTGTCTTCTGCAAAACACTTTCTAAACCTGTGAACAATGATTTCTATTGATCCCTGCTTTAATTTTTAACTGACTTGACTGAACCACAATTTAGCATAAGGTAAAGCATTCCAAGATTTAGGTTATTTCTTCCCCAAAGTGAAAAGCACCTGCATAAATCAGAAGCCTGAAGGAAAGGATTAAGGAATAGTGAAAAGTACCCTGTCTAACTATCTCTTTGCATTCCATTTATTGCTCTGCAGACATAGCAAAGGACCACATAGGATTTGTACTCTAAAGACTTGGTTCTGGGGCGGTGCTTGTGACTCAAAGGA